GATACGCTATCCGTGGCACATGCTCGAGGCTCAGGCTTTAACTTCAGGAGTTGAAGAATAGATGGAATCTGAATTTTCTGAAGCAATTTCTTCTATAATTAAAAACAAAAGCACGTTAGTCAATTAATAAGGAGAAGAAGAACATCTACTGTTGTACTTAATGAAGGAATAAAAGCAACCTTTAAGCATATTCTGGTGGGGCAGGGACAGCAGCTGCCACCTGCCACTGAAAAAGCCTGAGGAAAGAGCTCATGATGGCTTGCATCAACATTTCTTTTTTTTTTTTTTTGTCGGAACTGGGGATTGAACTCAGGCCCTTGTGCTTGCCAGGGAAGCGCTTATTCCATCTCCCCAGCCCCTACATCAACATTTTTACACCATAACTTAACCAAAGATTTTCTCTTTCCAGGATAAACTTCCACCAACTTCAACTACCCAGCAAACGCTGTATTAAAGTCATGTCTGAAAAATGTGGCCCTCTCGTTTAGTGGCTCAAATCCTAATACTTAACGATATTCAAATAAAAACATGATGTTTTCTTTTTGCAAAAAGGTACTTATCAGAAAAAGGGGGGGCACTGGCAGCAAACTACTTTGAAGCTGATTCATTTCTCTTTTTTTTTCCTTTGTCTTTCTAACATGGGGTCTCATTATGCAGTTCAGGCTGTCCTTGAGCTCACTGTGTAGCCCAGACTGGCCTCAAACTTGCAGTGATCCTCTTGCCTCCCAAGTGCTGGGATTACAGACATGCTTCACCACACTCGGCTTATGACTCCTTTTCAACATAAAATTTTCTTTAAAATAAAATGCAGGCTAGCAAGACAGCTCAGCGGACTAAGTGCCTGCTTAGTCAAGCGCAGAGATTGGGGTTTGATCCCCAGAACCACATGCTATGTCGGCCCCACCCCTGGAGCACACTGAGCCAGCAGCTGAGTCTGGACGTGGTGGTGCACACCTGTAATCCCAGTGCTGAGGAGACTGAAAACAGGTGGATCACTATGAGTCTGATCTATGTAGTGAGACCCTGTACCAAATATATAAAATGAAAAAAGACAAAAATACAAAAGGGGAGGGGGTTATAATTATGGTAAACCACACCCCGTCCCCTAAATCATCATATAAACTTTCTCAAATCATCAATCTGACATTTTTTTCAATCCCATCCTTATCTTGCCATGTAATAAAAATTAAAAAAATCATGGAATCTTCCCAATTCTACCACTAGTGACAATTCATCTCTCCTTTTCTGTTATCATTCCCTTATTCAAAACCAGGTGCCTGGTCACCTAGACTATTAATGTCTGCTGAGTGGTCTACACCACTCTGCTTCCTGTCCAGTTCTTTCCATACCACAGCCAAGGCAACCTCCAAATTTTTATATCTGAACTTGTTTTTCCTCTGCTTCAGATTTAAAGCCTTTTCACTGCTTCGGTGCAAAGCTCTCCAACTTGTAATACAGTACATGAAGCTCTTTATGGTTTAGCTGCCCTTGTTCGACTCATTTGTGAGTTTTGCTTGTGTGTAGGGGTGTGTGTGCTAGGGGCTTGAACTCAGGACTGTATCCATGCAGGGCAAGAGCTCTACCACTGAGCCACATCCTCAGCCCCGATTCGGTCTTCAAGACTGGGCTATGTGGTCCAGGCTGCTGCACTCACGCAACGGCGCTGCCACAGCCTCCCACATGCTGGGAGGGCGTGTGTATTCCACCCCGACCAACTTACCCTTGTTCTTTATAGGGAGGCCCAGTAAAGCTACTCCAGTTCCTAACGTGCTATGCTCAGCTAATGCTTCTGTTCTTTTCCTGTGATCAACTGTGTTATTCTGTCCCTACCAACACCACACCTCCTAACATCCCTATCGCTCCTGCACACACTAGGTCATGGTTTACACGTTGCTTTTCCGGGAACTACTCTGATTTCCCTTACAGATGTAATGTCTTATTCATACAATTTGCTTAAACATCATCTGGATAAATCTGACTAGTTCTCTGAGAGTAAACCGTATCGTCTCGACACCATCTCAGTGCCACTGCCACACAGCATTACGTAGCTTACAAATAAGCACATGTAAATATTAAGCTTTCCATTAAGTATACTCACATTTAATATATTTCTTTTTATCAATAAGTAAAACTCACATACCACTTCAATTTTAAGGTCCCCAGGATTCTGAGGAAAGTCAACTGATTTTATTTACCTAGTTCTTCTTCTGCTGTCTCTGGAAAATTGATCTTTGGCTTTGCCAATTCACCACTATCTTCTTCTGTGGAAACAACAGCAATGATAGACTTCATGAATTATTATATCACAAGTAATTCCATTTAATCAACAAGAAAAGTAAAGACAAATCTATTGCATCAATACAGTATTAACAAGAACAACTCTTAGTAGTTGTGATTCTAAAACAATTCATCTTCCATACTTACTTTTAGGCTCATACTACAACTCCTCTGGGATCAGTAACAAGCGTTTTTTTTTTTTTAAATAAATTAAAAATATGTCTACTTTAAAATTACATTATTCAGATATTGGTACATTTACTTTTGAATTCATTAGATTGCCTTCTACCACACTATGAATTTAAGTTCACTCCATTTACCAAATGAATTTAGGAGAATACTATGTGCAACGAAAAACCCTAAACAACAGAACACAATAGCCAATTTATGATCATGGCTTTTCATTAATTGTATCATTTTCCCAGCACACAGGAGGAAGCTGAAGCAGGAGGATCCTTACAAGTTCAAGACCAGTCTGGGCTATAAACTGAGTTCAAGGCAGACTGAACTTTGTAGTGAAACCCTATCTCAAAAAGACAAAAATACGTAATTCCACATCTACAGGAGCACTGAAACAGAAGTGATGAAGGAATTACATAAAGTATGCACTGTAACTTAGTAACTTAATATCAATTCTTACCCGGGAGCACACATTTCCAGAGGCCATAGGTTTTTCCTACCACGGTCTGCCACAGTCTCAGAGTTCCATCCTCAGAACCGCTGGCGTACAGTTCTCCATCAGGACTGAATCTCACACAGTGAATGGGACCAAAGTGTCCTTTGTAGGATTCTAAAAAACAAGATAAGGGCTATTAGGAAATTTAATGTTTATTAGGTTAAGTTTTCTATATGAATGAAAATATTGTCTATATTCCTGGAGAAATACATAATTCCTAAATGCAAATATGAAGAACTGTACCTAGTTCATCCCCATCACCAGGTGCCACGACAGTGGCTACCATTTCTCCCTGAGTGCCCCTTTTCAAATCTAGCACTCCACAGAATTTCAGACCATTTTTAAGAGGGAAAATCAGGCTCAATGTCTCAATAAAGACAGAACAACAAAGGTCAACAGAAAACCCATGGAGTGCAATCCCAATTACCATTCACATCTTTCTGCCTATTTGCAGGAAACCACGTCTTTTCATGACTATAGAGAGCCACCAGATGGCGCTTTGCACACTGTGCTTCCTCATTTCCTGCCAAGCTTTGCAGGGTTTCCTCTGCCACACAGAAGGCAGAGATATAGGATCTAAACTGGTCCTAAATATTTGAATCTAAAAAATCTACTGAGAAAATGTTCAGAACTGGAGTGTTTTCTAATTTAAGTCACAGCTGTATTTACACACTTGTCACATTTATATTCTAACGCCTTTCTGTTTGTCTGTAGAGCTCTACTAGTCCAGTATTGCTGAGTATCTCCCATCTCTAATCAGAAAATAAAAAAGTTATGACAGTGAAAAGGCTGGTACTCACCAGCTCCTACTTAGCACTTACCTAGAGAGCTCAAGCAAGGGCAGGGTTAACCCCCAGTATTTCCAAAAACAAAAGAAAAATGCTTCGATCCAACATTCACTACCTGTTGGCCCAGGTCTTAGGCAGGTAATTCCAATTGGTTCTTTCTTTTGGGGGATGGTAGGATCTCAGGGCCTTCCACATGCACCCGAGCTCAAGTTCTCTCATTTTTAAAAAGAACTAAATATGACTAAATATTTTACAATACACTTAAGCAACTCAGTGTCCTTAGTTCTTCCCTAAGAGCAAAACATAAGGTATCTTTTGTTTTTTGTATACATCTGCAGCAGACTTAGTTCAAGTGGTAAAGCAAGAGAGGTGTCAACAAAGAGTGGCAGTTTACAAATAAAAAGATTCATAAAAACCAGATTTTCTGGGGTAGGGGAGATAGCTCAGTAGAATAAGTGCTTGCCTGGCAAGCGCAAGGGCCTGAGTTCAATCCCTGGTTCTGCAAAAAACAAAAACAAAAACAAAAACAAAAACAAAAACAAAAACAAAAACAAAAACATTTTCTGAACCAAAAGAGAACCATACACAACTGAGGTCTATACATCACTCTTTGGACTATCGGATCTATATAAAGTTAGCATTAACTCAAATTCTACATTAATCTTTCCTAAACACATCACAATAATACAGCAAAACTCAGACTAAAATCTCCTAGCATCTACTTCGTGTACAATTTTGACACTGGAATCCTTGCCCAGTGGAGCCTCAAAAATCACAGCATGACACTCAGAACATCACTACTATTCATACAAATGACTTTCAGCTCAAAGCAGATGATAATACGGAGTTCAGCATATTTTTCTCATACGGGCTGTAGAATTTTCTACCTAAAATGGACAACACTTCTTTCCTTTGTATTTTCTAAGCATGAAGCTTTAAGTGGCAGAAAAATCTGCCTCCAACATATTACATACATACATGAATATTAATTACCGGGACTAAAAACATTTTATAGAGGTAATTTTATGAGAAGAAAAAGAGGACCACTTACCTAGTTCTTCTCCACTATTATAATCATACTTATAAAGCTTAAAATCTTCACCACCTGCAACAAGAAATTCTTTCTCGGGATGAAGAGATGCAGAATTGATGGGTGCAGGCGCTTCAAAGGATTTAATTGGGTCCAAACTAGAAAAAAGTATTTACAAATGTTAATAGTGCACAAATGGTAAAAGAAAATGATTACATTTTTTTTGGCCAGTTCAGGAGGTGGGGATCAAATCAGTCTCTGCACCTGACTTTTTTTTTGGCGGAACTGGGGATTGAACTCAGACTCTTGAACTTGCCAGGGAAGCATTTATTCCACTGAGCCATCTCCCCGGCCCCAAAATGATTACATTTTAAAACTGTTCCTAAATTCAAAAACTCAAAAGACAATTTGCTATTCACTTAGGCAAACATACACAGTAATGTTTAAAGATGTTCAGAAGGGGCTAGGTGCATGGTACAAGCCTGCAGTTTCTGTACTCTGGAAGACAGGAGAGTCAAAGGTCTGGGCCCAGGCTGGGCAACTTAAGGCCCTGTGTCAGGGCGGGAACAGTGGTGCAGACCTGTAATGCCAGCACTCAGAAGGCTGAGGCAGAAGAGTCACTGCCAGCTCAGAGCCAGCCTACGCCGCAAAGTAAGTTCAAGGCCAGTATGAACTATATAGCCAGACTGTCTCAAAAACCAAGCCAAGCCAAACCACTCTCCCTAGAAAACAGTGTCTTGGCTAATTAAAATAGCATAGATACCATAGTGGGATTTTTTTAATCTCGAAAAATTTCATTATGTTTTTAAAAATTTTTATTTGTGGCACATGGTCTCACTACACAGCTCAGACTCAGTGATCCTCCTGTCTCAGCACCCCTAGTGCTGGGATTACAGGTATGCACTACCTTGTGCCAGTTCTGGGGCCAGCATGGCACTCTTGGGGTTCTAGAGCCAGTGTAGTATGTGGTACCGGGGATCAAACTCGGGACCTTGCGCTTGCCATGCAGGTGCTTATGCTGCCGAGCTATCTCCCCAGCCCTTCATTGTGTTTTTAAATTGTTTTATAATAAGTATATACTATCTTAGTAAAGAAAAATGTTTCAGATAATACAAAGGGTTACTTGTACGTTATTCTCAGTTGTTGGGGACTTAAGCTTACACAATAATAGTCATAAAAATATGAAATATAAAAATAGCTTTTTTTTACCACCAGACAATGAAACAATAAGTTTTAAGCTATAGTTATTTAATAAAAATTAACATGTAATAATAGCTTCACCTGAAAATAAATTAAGAGTTTAGACATGGTACTACCCTTTTCTAGTCTAGCCTTGAGAACTCATGGGCTATCTTAAACATTACACACACTGTAATATTCTAGCTCCATCTTGTTCCATCAACACACGTTACCAAGCATGAAAATAAGAACTGGCCATGATTTGCAGTCTCACTGAATGGCAACTCATGGCTCAAGCATATGCATGTTCACTAGGCCCATCAACCTCTGCTACCACAGCAGGACTGAGGCTTGAGGTAACAGCGTGCAGCCAAGTTACAGCTTGGTTCTGAAGCAGCAGTACACAGTTGTAGGATTCAGTGGCTCTGGACAAGAGCATCCTGCTGTTATCAATTCACTATCTGGATACACTGCTCCTTTACAATCGTAGGAGTTCCAGATCAAGGCACAGCGGCACAAGTCTACAATACACCCAGCTACTCAGGAGGTTGGGGCAGGAGGACAGCAGGCTGGAGGCTAGTCTGGAGAACTTACATCAGAACCTGTCTCAAAATAAAATAAAAGAGGCGGGGGAAGAGCTCAGCTAGAGCGCATGGAGGTCGAGCTCAGCTAGCGCATGGCTAGCCTGCACATGGCCCTGGTACAAAGGGCTTGTACTGCAAAATGAAACAAAACAAAAATATCCATCACTCACTTATCTTCCTTCCTCCCCTTCAGAGAACACTGGCTCCACAAATTCTATTTAGATAAACAGGGCTGAAGCCAAAATATAACCTGGCAGAAATGATGGGAATCAACTTAGCACCATTGTGTACAAGAGAACTTTAAACTCCTTTTACTCTTTGACTTCATAATCCTACTTGTAGGAAGTCACTGTGAGGACACAGATGGGCCACGACACCCAATGCAGCGCTGAAGTCCAGGAATTAGAACATAATTAGTACAACGCAAAATTCAACACAGCTAGCAAAAGTGTTTTCAAAGAAATTTCAATGCCTTATTTTAAGTAGAAAACCAAAATTATATTCATTATGGGCCTAGTAATTACAGAAAAAAAATACAAACATATACATGTGTAACAAGGAAAAAGAAAAAAGACTAGCAGAAAACACAATTAACTGTTAACATTCTGGAATCTACCAGTAAGGTTGTTGGCACATTTTAAAATTTATTCTCCAGATTTTTGAGAAATATTTACTATAATGCTAAGTCACAGAATTTAAGACTACTTAAAATTCATTAGGTATGCCCACGTGCAGGAATAGAAGAGTGATTATCAAAAATGTTGTGTCTTTGGACAGGATACCATGTCTGCATCTTGTACTATGAATAATCACTGCAAAGACAACAATATGCAACATATTCATTATTGAAATGGTCCTACTAATCAGTTTTGAAACTGTCTCATTGCTATTTTTCTCAATAAAATTAATACGAATAAATAAAAAAATTAAAAAAAGAAAAAAAATGTTGAAGTGAAATGACCATGATTTTAAAACAAACATTTATGACATCTAAACTTTTTTTAAAAATTTGTTTTAAAAATTTATTTATTTGTGTGTGTGTGGCCAGCTCCGCCCACCAGGGGGCGGGGCTGGCTGGCATGTGGTGCTGGGGGATTGAACCGC